AGGGAAATTATTTATAGGTATGGAAAGTAAAATTATGTTGTAAGGGTTATATATGTATAAAATGTTTATATTATGATGTAAGATGTGAAACTATGTTAATGAAAATATTCTTTATAAAAAAAAAACATTTATTCTTCCGGAAATATTTTAGGTTGACAGTGCCATGTCTCTGATTCAAGCTGCCAAGAATTTGATGAATGCTGTGGTTCAAACAGTTAAGGCATCTTATGTGGCCTCTACAAAGTACCAGAAATCACAGGGAATGGCATCTTTAAATCTTCCAGCTGTCTCATGGAAGATGAAAGCTCCAGAGAAGAAGCCTCTTGTAAAAAGAGAAAAGCAGGATGAGACACAGACCAAAATAAAACGTGCATCTCAGAAGAAACATGTTAACCCTGTGCAAGCACTTAGTGAATTTAAAGTTATGGAGAGCATATAAACAAATATACCTTATTTGAACATATATTTACTTATGTAATCGTAATATTTTGCATTCTTCAGTTTTGTACTAAAATCTGCTGATGATAGTCAACAAAAGACAAAATAAATTTACATTTAACCTGTGCTAGTAGGATCAATTTATGTAATTGGTTGGACAGAAGTGGAATTTTATATGCCTGGGGTAAAAGCCAAATGAACCCTGGGATCCTGGATTTGTAAATGGTCTTTTTATTATACTTTACAACATATATATTTTATGATTATTTAAATGTATACCACTTTAAGCAAATTTAATTTGTTAAGATTTGTTTAGATAATGGTTGGCTTTTTTTTGTTTGATTTTGTTTTTGTCTAACTGCCATCTCTTTACTATTATCTGCTTTAATAGTGTATATGATTGTGATACATTTTTGGTTGACTGTATGTGCCCTAAAATGAAGACAGCACAAACACAAAAACCCACTATCTTTTTGTTGTCCGACATGTACTAAATGTGTGGAGATTTTGAATGGTTGTGTATTTTCACTTTTGCAGTCACATTTGGGAACACCCCCACTATATATTTGTGTTCCTATTCTCACAGCATATCTTAAATAAATATAATTAAATATTCTTCCCTAGATGTCTCTGAAATTGAGAGAGAAGATTGCAAAAAGCTGCTTCACAAAGTGACAAAAATCTCTGGCTGTCGTCCTAGAGAGACTAAACCTGGGTACACACATATTTTTATTTTTTTTTGTTCCGACTGCAAGGCTGAACGGAAAGAAAAATGACAAATTCCTCCATCCACACAAACAGTATGGGTGAATGAATCTCCCACTGTGTACATTGGGCGCTACAGTCAGAATATAAGAAAAGTGCTTGAAGCTGCAAATGCTGTTTGTCCAACAAATGTTTTTTTTTTCAGCATGACCTTTCGATCTAATCCACTTTTGTAGAGGAGATGGGTCCACATACAGGTCAAATTTTTGCAAATTCCTGCAGAATCAGCCAAAAATCGATCAGTGTGTACCCAACTTTAGGACACACTGAACTATATCTTAATACCATACAATGCTACTAGACCCTAAACCCTTTTTCAGGCAGACCGTGTTCAAACCTAGTTTACAGCAGATCTGCCAGCACAGTACAGGCAGTTAACTATGTTAACATTAACCTGCCCAGCCCCCTTGCATTCAGTACAGAGGAAAAACTTCTTTTATATGCATTCACAGACCATGTAAAATGCAAGCAGCAATTGGTATTTGTATTTTTAAGTTATCCTCTCTGAATGAGAGCATGTAGCAAATATAACATGGGAGTTATCCTAATTTGGTTGTAAAAGTGGAAATAAGGTTACAATTTTCCTATTGGGCATTGTGCAAATTCATACAACTTGGTATGCATTTTGTACCTTGTTCTAATACTCTCCAATTATAAAGTACTAAGAGCTGGACCCTCTACAAATCATCTTGGAGTATGTGGTACTTAATGTATCATATGTTTTTTGCTGGTAGCTGAACATACTTTATACCATAAAGTATGCATGAGGTGTTCATTTTTCTTGTGCATTAGGGGCTCAGAATATAACATACAGAACACTTATTTTGACTACTCTTTTTGGCATACCAAACATACAGACACTTAACGTGTACTCTAGCTGTTGTTAATATTTTGTATCTATATGCAAGAACTAAAATCTCAAAATGTTCTTATAAATGTATCCATATCATAGGCAGGCTTTTATTTTTGATTTGTATGTTTCAGTGCTATCTTTAGGGATGCTTTGATAAAATGTTATCCAGAGTGTATTTTCCCTCTTTTCTCAGAACAGATTTTATACTGGAATTTTAATCCTGTTTCTGATACTTCAGTTGCAAACTACTTTCTTTTTAGGGTTGTTAAAGAAAAAAAAAATCATCTGGAGCAAAATTGCATTTTATAGTTTACATTGTTTTTTTTTTTTTTTATACAGCTACATTTTAAGCTGCATGCATTTCATAATGCTTTTATAAATCTTTAAAAGAGCATACCTTTTTAAGATGTCAAAAATCTCACAATTATGTAGATGATTCTTTTCAATAATAAAGTTTGCCTTGTTAGTTTTATATTTTTATATACACACTGAGAAGACAATATACAGGGGGAGAACATTTTAGATGGGCTCACAAGACACTTGAGGCTGATTTAATAGAACCTTAGCCAAGCAAGCAACTAAAATACCATTTTAAATGTGTTAGTTAGTTGTTGACTGGCATTTGATATAGCAATTTATATTGTTGTAAACATATTTTCTAGAACAGGTAGGCTGGCATTATTGACCTATGCTGTGAATGCTAGCTGCCTGTTTTTTATGCTGATCCACTAGCTTACTTTGAGTCGCTGACATTGAAGTTCTGACTAGCTGTATGCTTATTTCAGGTCAGTGCCTCAAGGTCTTTGAGCAATGGTAAAAAAGCATTTAGCATTTAAAGGAAGAGGTTACCAATGGCAGTCCCTTATATTTCAGTTCAGGTTTCTTTTAACCCCTTAAGGACAAAGGCCTTTTTTTCATTTTTTGCACCCATGTTATAATCCACATTTTAGGCCTGAAAGTTACTTAAAACCCCCAAACATTATATATTTTCTGAAAGCCAAGAGCCTATAGAATAAAATGGCGGCAGTTGTAAATTTGTATGTTGCACGACATTAGCGCAACGTATCAAACCCAAACATTTTGTGAAAAATGCACTTAAGTGCCCCAAAACACAATATAACACAAAAATATAAAAGATGAGGTTCCAATGAGTAAATAGATACCCAACATGCCCAGGTTAAAAAATTGTGTGCGTCCGTGAAACTGCGACAGATTTCAGTACCCCAAAAAGTTCACAGATGCTTTAAAAGCCCCCAAAGGTGATCAGTTTAGAGATGCATGTAAATATTGGCTCTAGAATTATTGCTCTTACTCTGGTGTGCGTGGCGATACCCAAAGTGTGATGCAATCATCGTTTTTGTACATAGGCGCACCCGATGCATGTTTACGTGACAACGCGCAGGTGAGACGGACTTAATTTTTTTTTTTTATTGATTTTTTAAACTTTTTTTAACATTACTTTAATTGCTATCACATAGGGGGGCTTACAAGCCCCCTATGTGTGATAGCATAATGGCAGTGACAGGTACTCTTTAAGGTGATGGAAACTGTTAGAAATGTAAACAGCCAGCAAGAATGACTCTGTCATTGGAGATCAGTACACAATCTCCCTTTGATCTCCAGTCCCCGAATGCAGGAAGTTATGTATATTACATAATTTACTAGGGGTCTTGGAGACCCCTGATGTCTCCATAAAGAGGACCTGTTATGTTAATTGGCTGTCACATAGGGGGTCTCTTAGCCCCCTATGTGATAGCAATAAAGTAAAAAAAAAAAAAACTTTTTTTACACTTAAAGCATAAAAAAAATAAAGCAGCTTAAAAAAAATCACAAAAAAATGTTAAATTATACAAAAAAACATGTGTCTGGTGTGCCTACGTGCAAAAACGACGATTCCGCCTATTGTGCCGCACATGTTACATATCGCTGCAAACGTCGGGAGTGAGAGCAATAATTTTAGGGCCATTAATGACTGAGAACACAACTGATGAGGGGTTAAAGCTTTTAAAGTGTCGCCTATGGCCAATTTTGGGTCTGGTCATTTTTTGCAATATTGCGGGTGTGCGCATTTTAAGGCTTGACATGTTTGGTGTCTAATTACCCAACGTGACTGGTTTTTATATTTTACCCAAAAATTGGGGTGATTAACCCCTTCATCGACAGTCGGCTCTACAAGTTTAAACAGAGTCCCGGCGGCAAAAGTCACCGGGAGTCTGTTTAAACAGCCCCGATGCTGGCGACGTACACTGTACGTCGTCAGTCACGAAGGGGTTAATAAATGTTTCATAACATTTCATAGGGAAACATGTTTGGTTTTTTTCCAAAAATTTAGTGTACTTTTTTTTGTTATAGTAAAAAAAAAAAACCTCAGTGGTAATTACCACCAAAAGAAAGCTCTATCTGCCCCCCAAAAAATTGTATAAAATTAGTTTCAGTACAGCGTTGCATGACCAAATACACTGAGTGGCCAGATTATTATAACCCACCTGATGTTTGTAGGCAAATTAGCTATAATTTTGTACTGAAGTTGCTAGAGGGCCATACCATTATAAATAGGGAAGCAGGTTGTTTACCACGACAGTAGAAGGGATTTTGTTTCTGAAGATATGGGTAAACAACGTGATTTAACAGCCTTTGAACTTGGGATGATTGTTGGAGCTCGGAGCCATGGAGCGAGTATCAGCAAAACAGCAGAATTCATTAAATGTTCAAGAGCAGCTGTTGTTAGTGTGGATTGTCAGCCTAAAATCTGGGTCTGAATGTGCGAATTGTGGGCGTCAGCGACTAGTTAATGTTAGGACAGAACGGAGAGTGGCAAGACTGGTAAAAGACAACAGAAGGGCAACAGTGCATCAAATTACTGCAGATCTTAATCAGGGATCCTCTCAAATGATCTCTGAACGCACTGTTTGACGTACACTGCATCGTATGGGATATGGAAGCCAAAGGCCTGTTTGAACACCTTTGCTGTCTGCAGTTAACAAGATAAAACGTCTCCAATTCGCACAGGAACACAAGGATTGGACAGTGGAGCATTGGAAAAAAAAGTAATGTGGTCCGATGAATCACGTTTCCAGTTGCATCATGCAGATGGCAGAGTGAGAATTTGGTGGAAACAGCATGAAAGCATGCACCCCACATGCATGAGTACAACCCTTCAAGCTGGTAAGGGCAGTGTTATGGTTTGAGGAATGTTTTCCTGGCTTGATTTGGGCCCTTTAATTTGTGTGGAATAACGTCTGAATAGCACAACATGCCAAAGTATCGTTGATGATCAAGTTCATCCTATCATGTTGATGGCGTATCCCAATGGAGATGGCTTCTTCCAACAAGACAATGTGCCATGCCACGGTGCTCGTATTGTGCAGGAGTGGTTTCAAGAACATGAGGACTGTATTCCACTACATAACTTGGTGTCA